AAGGGTATTTTTGTCCATAAAATAATTCTCGTGCACTGGCGCGCAACGGGTTGCCGAAAAATATGGTTACGGCCTACGGGAGTGCGCTTGGTATCCAGCGTGGGACCCACGCGACGGGCAACCGGAACTACCGGTCAACCCGGGGTAGGTTTCTCCAACATTTAATAATTAAAATAATTTTGTTTCTAACAGGGTGCCTTGCCGGAAAGCGGGAGGTATCCGGTTCACGATCAACGGTTTCCGGTACTTCAACCTGCTCCTGATCACCAACGTCGCCGGCGCAGGGGACATCGTGCGCGTGAGCATCAAGGGCACGAAGACCGCGTGGATTCCGATGAGCCGCAACTGGGGTCAAAACTGGCAGACCAACGGCGTGCTGGTGGGCCAGGCCCTGTCATTCCGGGTCACGGCCAGCGACCGCCGGACATCGACTTCGTGGAACGTGGCGCCCGCTGATTGGCAGTTCGGGCAGACCTTCTCGGGCAAGAATTTCCGGGTCTGAAGAGGAAGATCCGGACCCGGCCGGGATATTCTCTTTTTTCCTTTAATTTGGGAGAAAAAAAAAATTATATATAGAAGTACTTTATTATGAGAGTAGGAGAAAGTAATAGCGCGTGGAGTGTCTTTTTAATTTTTTATTTTTATTTTTACCACTTTTTTGGAGCGGGTTTAGTTACTCTTTTTTACTTTGGGAGTAAAAAGTGAAAAAGTGAAAGGAGAAAATTGTGTGATTTGTGTGTGGATGCTGAGGCGGCTGCAGTAAAAGGTGGAAAAGGTGTTGTAGCCCGCAGCTTCTAATTATAATGTAATGAAATTCTGCTTAGTTATTATTATTATAAGGATAATGTTTAATTTCACCATTTGTTTAAGTCTCTTAAATTTTATTTTTGATATATGACATACGAAATTAGTTAATTATTTTTGATTTGACATTCATATTATATATATATAATACAAAACAGTGATATATATCCTTAAAAGTAAAATTAAATTTATTTATCAAACCGAATTAAGAATTATCAAATAAAATTATAAATTATCTTATAAAGTAATAGAAATTTATGTGTATTAACATACCATAAATAATTATTATACTAGAAAAAAAAATATGTAAACTAAGTATGAACCTCAAACTAATGTTAAACATTATTCTAAAAATTTATGCCTCAACTTAAACAAAGAATACGTAGAGAATGAATATTATATTTAAAATAATAAAAATAATTATTATATCTTGTTATCATCCGACTCGGTAAAACACAATTAAGGACCTTGAACAGCATCTTAAGCGAATTTGACTCCAACACCGACGTGACCCAAAGTCATCCCGGTTCGCATAATAAACCGGTACAACCATAAAAGGCCGAAGTGATCCCTACCCGCTGAGGTCACTCCAAACCGAGGTCAACACGAACCGAGGTCGTCACCTCCTAAAGCAGGTGACAAAGCGTCTACACGCCCCTCTCACGATCCACGAGATTTATTATCATTTACGTAGGGCCCACTGACTCTGCCGCTCATCAAAAATAGGTTTATCGGAAAAGCAATGCACGGATCCCGATGTATATACCAAAAAAGTTACTATAAATAGCTAGCTGATGGTACTTGTACGGGATTCGATTCCTGAAAAAACCGAACTCTTATATAATGAAACACGAAATAGTCCTTAAAGGCTTTTCACCTCGGTTCACCTCGAACCGAGGTTATTGTTGAAGTTTGTATCCATGCTTTACGTTCGAATTGATCATTATCACTAAATAAACACAGACCTAAAATCGTTGTTAGGAATTGCATAACAACATATCGCATAATGTATAATCTCATACATATTATATTTAAAATTATTGATATTTTAAAAAATATTAGACGAGGAGAGAAAAATGTATAAAACATAAAATATGTGTGTGTGT